TAAACTTCTTAAATCAATTGTTTTAATCATTTTCAATGTTTTTAAATTCCTTGTTTTATTGTTGTGATTTTTTTTTTTTCATTTTTTTTTTTTCCATTTATTTTATGTAAAGCACTTTGAATTACCATTGTAATTGTGAAATGTGCTATATAAATAAACTTGCCTTGCCTTGCCTTGCCTAGAACGCTCAAATGGTACTCAGTTCACTCAAAAGTACATTACAGATGTTTCATTCCACATCAGATATCTTTCATGTCAGTTCACATGCCTGAGATTCATAATCCCAGAGTTAAAGTATTACCTCACAGTAGAACTGGGCTGGTGTTGGATTGTCCAGATATGACAGGGTAATTAGATCAAACAAATAGTCACCTGTTCAAAAACAGAAAGTCTCTTCCTTTTCTTTAAACACAAGGAAAATAATGTTAAGGAATAAATAATAAAGGAAAAAAATATATTTCTACAAATGTTTCCGGTAGAAGAGACAGTCCCTTCAAAAAAAAAAACGTAATTTGGATTCATTCACTCAAGCAAACTCAGTTATCAGTTCTCAAGTCCATCCAAAAATAATTTCAAAGTCTCTAAGTGAAAATACTGCAAAACGTCCAAAAATAAACTATGAAAAATAGAAGGAAAAATATTGTCAAAAGAAGAGCTTCAATGTGTTCGCAATGCCGTTTGTGTCCACACGGCGGCACTATTGTACCAAAACGACACACAAGGATTTTGTCTCGAACAACAGTAGCAAAATCACTCGCTCCAAGCTGCTTTGTCCGTGTATTTCTTTAGAATATATACTGTGGTTAAACAGCAGTGAAGAAAAACTCACAGTATCTCGGCTCCCTTCCGTAGAAGACGAACACTCGCGCCAACACACCTTCTCAGCTAGCACGATGAGCAATGTTCCTTTTCTTTAAACACAGGAAAAATAATGTTCAGGAATAAATAATAAGGGAAAAAATATATTTCTACGAACGTTTCCGGTAGACGAAAACAGTCCCTTCAAAAAACCCCGTAATTCGGATTCATTCAATCAAGAAAACTCAGTTATCAGTTCTCAAGTCCATCCAAAAATAATTTCAAAGTCTCTAAGTGAAAATACTGCAAAACGTCCAAAAATAAACTATGAAAAATAGAAGGAAAAATATTGTCAAAAGAAGAGCTTCAATGTGTTCGCAATGCCGTTTGTGTCCACACGGCGGCACTATTGTATCAAAAAAGACACACGAGGATTTAGTCTCGAACAACAGTAGCAAAATCACTCGCTCCAAGCTGCTTTGTCCGTGTATTTCTTTAGAATATATACTGTGGTTAAACAGCAGTGAAGAAAAACTCACAGTATCTCGGCTCCCTTCCGTAGAAGACGAACACTCGCGCCAACACACCTTCTCAGCTAGCACGATGAGCAATGCCCCTCCTGGTATATCACAGACACGCAGTTCAGTTTCTCGGCGATTAGGCTCCGTCAAAACTTACGACAGCACAAGCTCGGTCCAGCTTCTCGGCAGCTCACCTCAACGCTTATCTAATGCTGTTCACATCTAATCAAAGTCACAAGAAAACTAACTTTTTCTTTCTCGCGCTCGTGCTCGTGCTCGTCTCGCTCATTTCCTTCTTTTTTTCGGAACACCCTGTTCTCTTCTTTAAAAAAAAAAAAAAAATTTCAAAATAAAAACCCTTTCAAAATAAAGGTCCTTGCATACCTCCACATTCCCCCCTGCTAAACCCTGCCATATACAGGACTCTCCAAGATGACCAGCTCCTAAGTAAAAAACAGAAAACACAAGAACAGTTATCATTTGATTCCTTGACACAACATTTTCAACATTTGTTTAGACATTCTCTTGAAGCAATTAACACATTCTTAGACATTTTCATTACACTTGTATTGACACTTTAACCCCAAATTACATAATGTAATCATCCTTATATCTTACGGGCAATCTACCTTCTGTTTTTCTCTTTGAACATCTAAGACTAGGTTCCACATTACTGTCAGCCTCCGAAATGTCAGAATCTTCAGATTCCCCATCTTGTCCTCTTTCTACTCTCTCACTCTCAGCAATACTACCATCCTCACAAACCACTCCACCCTCGAGTATGTGTAGTAAGTATGTGTTTGGCAAGTGTGTGGAATATGGAATGTAGGCAATGTCATGCGAGTCAACATCTGTTTCTGACAACTCTTTTTCTCTTTCAGCACGTGTAACCTGTCTTGTGAGTGAAGGGAAGGTACAGTGTCTCAACTGATCCCTGTGAACTACTTTTGTGGGACCCCCTGGCTCAGGACGTACAGTAAACACTGGTAAACCTGCGTGATTCTGTTGCACTACCAAATACGGTACGGACTCCCACTTATCTTGGATTTTGTTTCGTCCTCTAAACTTGTGGTTACGCAACAATACTCTGTCACCAGGTCTAATGAGCGCTCCTGCAGCCTTGCGATCATAGACTCTCTTCCTTCTCCTGGAAGCTTCTTGGGCAGTTGCTTTTGCAGTCTCCACTGCAGTCCTCAGTCGTTCATGGTGATTCTTCACCCACTCATCCAAATCATCCGCTTCATCGTCAGTCAGATCCCTCCCTCCTAAGACATCCATGGGCAGCCTTGCGTCCTGCCCAAACATTAGATAAAACGGGGAGTAACCCGTTGACGAATGAACATGGCTATTGTAAGCCATCACCAGTTCAGGCAAGTAAGTCTTCCAATCCATTTTTCTTTTCAGCAGGTAACATCCGCAGCATGTTGTGCATTGTACGGCTGAATCTTTCGCACTGTGTGTTCCCTTGAGGGTGGTAAGGACTGGTGCGAATCTTGCTGATTCCATACAGCTTACAGAGCTCCTTGATTATGCTTGCTTCAAAACACCTCCCCTGATCCGAGTGCAGCCGGGCGGGACATCCATAGCAGACAAACCAGTGTCGTACAAGAGCTTTGGCGGTAGTAAGTGCTGTCTGATTTTTAGTCGGGACTGCCACTGTAAATCTTGTAAACATGTCCGTAAGCACTAGAACATTCTCATAGCCCCCTGCTGATCTCTCAAGCACAGTGTAATCCATGGCAAGAACTTCTAGAGGTGCGGTTATGTTGGTGCAGGTCATAGGAGCACGAATCTTGGGGAACACATCCTTAGCTAAGGTACACCTCTGACACTGGGTTACCCACGCCTGCACGTCATTAGCCAT